AACCTGCTCCCCTGGAGCCGTTGAGGTTGGTCCTGGACTCCAAACTGTTTCTGGGCCTGGGGCAGAGGCTCTCAATGCTGGCTGCACATTAGAAACACCCGGGAGCTTTTAACATACACCAGTGCCGGGCCCATCCCCAGAGAATCAGTGGTCTGGGTTGAGACCCAGGTATCAGTGTATTTTCAAAGCTCCCCTGCTGATTCTTTCGTGCAACCATGGTTGAGAGCCACAGCCCTTTGGACACCGGAGAGAACGAAATCCTCACAGCTGAAAGCATTGCTGGGTGGAGAAGGCTGGAGCTATTCTGGCCGAGCTCCGCAACCAGCAAAAACATTCTCTATCCCACCACTGGAGCAGAATTTGATAAGCATTCTTTGCCTCCTTCTGCAGTAGTCTTTGCTTTCTTCTTCCTCCTTGGTTGGCATTCCTCTAATCCCTGTTACAAATCTCAGGACCCTAGGGATGAGCCCCTCCCTGCCCCAAGTGTGTGGACTGTAAGGCAGAACACAGCCAGGCCCTTCCTAATGGGGCCGGCTTTGCAAAGGAGATGCCAGGCGGTGGAGCAGAGAGCAGGGGTTTATCTTCAACCGAGAACCAAAATGTGTTTTCGGCAAACTGGAGCCTTTCCCTGGCTGTGGACTTGAAAGACAAGCTTACAGACAACTGTTTTTCCATCCCAAGATGGTGTGATGGGGTCTCTGAAATGAGTTTTTAATTTGCAGCAACAATCTAATTAGCCCTGACCAGGGCCTGTTCTTCTTTCTGCCTGTTTGCTTTTGCCTTCAGGGTCAGTAGCTGGCAACTAATATCCACTAGAACTGAAGCACTCAAATTACCGTAAGGGCTGAGCTAATATCCTGCTATCACAGGCGGAAAGAAAACTGAAAGGGAAGTTCTATGGCCTGGCAGTAAGCAGCCACTGTTTGTTAGGTGCAAGCTCCATGCTTTAAAGTTAGCCTCAAGGTTCCTGGAAAATTTGACTTGGGGTGAACTAGGGACCCCCAAAAGATGTTTGGGGTTTTTTTAGTTTCCTTCTTTGTTGCGAGATAGTACAGGATATGGGGCAAAACTAGATCTCATGCTCTCGGTAGTTAATAACCATGATAACAGTTATCATTTATGAAGGCCTGTGCTAAATGCTTCATACGGTTTTTCTCATTTATTCCCCAAAATAATCATTGTACATATGAAAAAAATTGAGTCACAGATTAAGTAACTTGCCCAAGATCACTCAAAGAGTAAGTGGTAGAACCAAAATTCAAACCCGATATGTCAGGTTCCAGAGTCCAAGCTGTAGGCCACTATAATGCTGTCTGCATACTTGGCACTGTCTTCATACTTGGCACAGAGTTTCAACTGCTCGCTAAGAACGCAGCCTAAACAATGTAAGAAGACTCTATTGAGCAACTACGTGTGCCCCAGCATTGCCGCTGAGGGAGGAAGAGCAGCATTCTGCTTTCTCAGCGTTCTGACTTCTCGCTCGAAGGCTTACTTCCAGAGAGCCATTTACCTACCAAAATATTTTGCCACTGTAAAGAAAGCCATTGCCTGGTACATGACTTTCTATTGCAGGGGTCAGCAAACTGTGACCCTCCAGTACGGCCCATGAGCCATACAAATAGTCAAAAAAAAATAAACAATAATATTTTATGACACATGAAAATTATATGGAGTTCACATTCCAAGTGCCCAAAAATAAAGTTTTATTGGAACTGAATCATGTTCATTTGTTTACTGTTACCATGTCTACGGGTGCTTTAGTGCTACAGCAGCAGAGTTGAGTAGTCGCAACAGAGACTGTACGACCCGCAAACGCTGAGATACTTACTATCTGGCCCTTCGTAGGAAAAGCTTGCCGACCCCTGCCTAGAAGAACGATGAGTTAACTAAACCAAACAGGCAGTGTGATCAAGAGATTTTGCCCACTTTTTTTTAATTAATAGTCCCCTGGAGAAGTCGTCTTATCTTAGAATGGAGAGGAAGCCAACAGAATATAAAGGGGGGGAACTCACTCCCCGTGTCGTCGGAAGCCAGGCAGCTCAGGCATGACTCATTCTGAGTCCCTCTCACCCCACGGCTAGCCTTGCCCTTGGTCTCCGAAGCTTCAGGAGCCCTAGAACCTCTTCCTCTTGAACACATTCCTCATCAAAGCCTGTAAGAAGTAATATTTGAGAACACACGTACTTAATTTTGTTTGTCCAAGGCATCAAACTGAGTTAAGCTGGAAATTTAGAAATTAAGAAGCTGAGGTCCAGAGAGTTAAAATGATAAAGCTTTGTTAAGCCTCATACTTCTATAGTACTTTCACATGTGTTCTTATTTAATTATTCTTTAACCTCAAGTGAGTATCAGATAACACTGTTCACTCACCCCTCTTTTTTGAGAGTGAAGTTTATGAGGCTTTTTCCCCCTCGATTTCTACATTCCACTTCTTGACACTCCCTTAAGATGTCAATTATAGCATGTTGCAGCTGTGAAATTGCCTTGTCCAATTTTTTTTCAAGGATTTGAGTTCTTAATGTGGAAATAAATCACCAAAGCTCCATGAGTTGTTTGTACATTTAAAAAAAAAAAAAAAGGCAGCTCAGATCTGATTTGATGAGCTACTAAGCAGCAAAATGTAACCCACTGCCATACACAGCTTCTGCCCGCCTGTGGCACCCGGCCATGGAAATACGGCTTTCAGTCTCACGGAGACCCCGCTGCAGGCCCCGGGAAGAGGCACTAAAGAGCAGATGAGAAAGTGGAAACATGAGGCCACTCTGGGCTGATTTTTTCTAAAAATCTTATTGAAATGAGTTTCTGAGCACTCAGTTCTGGCAGGCAAGGCTGCAGGGACAGAGGCATGAAAGAGGGCGGCCAGAGCGGCTGTGATTGAAGTAGAGGTGGGAAACGCAGGGTCAAAGGACTCAAACTCTTGATACTTTTTTAAAAATTTAATCTCCTAATTGTTCTCCAGGATCTTGATTTTTTATACATATATACTTTCCAGATTAAGGTCTTAGTAAACTTTGTAGATTATTTGCCAGCTCTCCCACATTCATGGGAAAAGTCACAGTGGTGGCAGAAACACGCAGTATCGCAAAGCTCATCATGTATGTCAACATACTTCCACATCCGTTACCTCCCCTGGGCCTCGCAGAGTCCCGACTCTATGAGGGAGTAGGACAGGGATTATTGTTCTTTTTTTTTTTTTTTCAAGTGTGAGATGAAGTTTATTGAGGAAGGGTAAGATAGGTTTACAGAGCAAGAGCAAGATACGGTCACCACAGACGATGGATTCCCCCTCCGCCCCCCATTGTAACAGAAGGCTCTTGTTCTTATATAGATAAAAAAAAAAATAGGAACACAGAGAAGTCCTGTGATCTGCCTAAACTAATAGAGATCATTGATGACAATGACAATGCTGGAATTTCAGTTTCTGGGCTACAAAAGTTTTTGGTGTGTTGTCTTCACCCCACCCCACCTATAATGAAAGAATGATTTTTTGGAGTCAGGCACACCTGGGTTCAGTATTAGCTTTACCATTTAATAGCTGGGTGCCTTGGACTAGTACTGGAATTCATTTCCTCATTTGTGGAAGTAAAGATAACAACTGTACAGTCTCATGAGGCACTAGTGAGAGCCTCTAGCACAGTGCCTTCCACTTTAGAGATATTCAGTAGTGTTTTCCTTTTGTTTCCCTGATATAAATTCTTTATGTCTCTGTGGTGCATATACATATATTTTTAATATATAATTTAACCTGCATCTTCCCTGAGAGACTGAGGAAACAAAGATTATATTACTTAAGGTACAGTTAGATCCTCTAAGTGGTTTAATAGAGCCAGAGCTAGAACTAAACAGGCCTCATAACACTCATGCCAGGTCTCCTTTACTGGGGACATTGCCTGCCACTAGGGTCCTGTAGATTTAAATGACTAATCAAAGAACATCTGAACTGAACAGATGTCGGTATAGATTTCTGTAGACTTCATAGTGGAGACGTACTTACCCTCTAACCTAAATCTCTCTGCCAACAGGGCCCACACACAAACTGTACCTGTATCAACATCCTATTAGGATTTTTTTAGATGTACAGCATGGCTGTCAAAGTGCCTGATCCACATAATAAAGACTCGGATATCCAGGCTGGAACTTGAGGCTGTTATTTTTCCTTTCATACATTGGACAACAGTATGTGTAAGAATCCAAGATGGCAGAACTGATAGAATTCAATCTCTACTCCCTTCCCTGCCCTGCAAGCATCTATTTCCTGGAATTACGACAACATCCCTAAAACTGCTGATAAAGCCTCTCATATTCCTTGATCAATGGGGAAGCTTTGGGGAGAGTTAAATACATGCCTGGTGTTCACTGTACTTCACAGCTCTGAGACTGCAAGTTTTCTGGGTTTCAGTGGTTGAAAGTGGATATGTGTACTGTGACCAGTGAGAATTTTGGTGGACTCTATCCACCGAAGACACCAAGAGGAGGACCCTTAAATCATCTCATGCACATGGCAGGAAAGCGAAGGTCTGCCCCGATAGCCTGCATTCTTATTTTTGACGGGGTATGAAGCAGTGTCCTCCTTTAGCTGTTTCAGTTGACCACCCCCTCCCCACTCCTTTCTGAATTCTTTCCCTGTGTCCTCACCAGCCCACTTTGGCACTCTCCCCAATTTCCCTAGACTAGAGGTGAGTCCAAGGACAAGAGCAATTGAAGATAGAATGAAAGAATATACAGTGTGGAATGGGAAGCCTGCACACCAAGAAATAAGATATTACTGCTAAATATGCTAGTTGAAAAGATGGGGGTGCTACGGTCTCCCCAAATGTTAACGTTACCAACTCAATAAACAGGAAGATTGGAGGGAATTCCATCCCTGGGAGAAGGGGTGGTGACAGTTTGTTCCCTACACCGTCTCAGAAGGCCCTGCTCGCTGGGCTGGCCTGGTCAGGGAGGGCGGAGGAGGGGATCCCGCCAGGCTCTAACACACCTTTCCCTCTGTCACCCTGCAGGTGTTAACAGAACTGAAATCTGACAACCAGAGGCTGAAAGATGAAAATGGTGCCCTCATCAGAGTCATCAGCAAACTGTCTAAATAGACTAGGCTCCAGATTTGAGAGGGAGGGAAGGGACAGCATTTGCTGCCCCTGCCTCTCTTCCAGCCCTTGCCTTCCAACCAAGAAGTGGATGTTTTGGTGGAAGGACACTTTTTTCTGACCCTCTTCAGTCACCTCTGCACTGTACGGTTTCTCTGCGCTCTCAGTGCCCTGTTCCTCTCACCCCCCACCCCAAGTTTTATGACAGATTTAATTGAAGCATGATTGCAATCATTTGAGCCATCTGGAGAAGGCTTTGGGGAAGACACCAGGCTCAGCCGTGGACCCCCCCAACTTCCTGCTGCTAGCTACTTTGTCCACATTGGATTTGGTTCTAACACGTAAGGCTTCTACCCAAACCCGTACTCCTCAGCTTTTTACACTGAGCCCGTGTCCTCTGTTAATAGGTGAGTCTTGCGGCAGCCACCCTGGGATCCTGTCTGGGGCACGAAGAGAAACGGCAGGATGTTGAATTAATCATCAGGCGGCCTCTGAGCTGTGTTTCTATTAGAGTCAGTGACAGTGTGACAGTGACTCTGCATTGAGGCTCTCGAATCTTCACCTCTCAGGAACTGAGTTATTTTTATTTTTTTCTATCAACGACCCAGTAACATCCCTGACTAGTCTGAATCCCTATTCCTCCCTCGTGTCTAGCGCTTTCTCCAAGACTCAGATGGCCCTGGCTTCATTTATTCCTTTCCTTTCTTGTACTTTTTCCTCCCTGCCCCACCCCCTCACTCGATGGTAGAACAGAGCACCTGACCTTGCCTATCTTTGGCCATCGTGGAAAATCATTATTCTGGAGACCAGAAAATCACCAATCACTCTGGTGCCTTGGTGGCAGCACCACCAGCCCTCTCCCTGGAAAACCAGAGCATGGCGTCAGTGCCAGCGCGTGATTTTCATCTCCCACTTATCTTCCCCTTACAAAGTATTTTTTTTATTAGAAAATCTGGGCTCCGAATACCCCAGTCTGCCTTGTTCCCTTTGACCTGTTTTCTTCTCTTCACTCTGGCACCTGCTCCTGATGAGAAATGAAGTCAGTGTAAGGAGGACTGAGAGGTGGTGAGGTAGATTGTTGGGGGATGGACCAGGGAGTGGTGCAGGCTAGAAGGACACATGGCGGAAGTATCGTATCTGAGGACACTTGCAACATGGTGACAAAGAAGATAAAAGATGGCAGCCCATGGTGTTGCAGGAACGGTGGTGAATTTGACTATTTCTGGTGGTTAGATTTAGGGGAGAGACGTTTGCTTTCTTAGAAGCTAACAGGAGAAACGATGCTTAATAGAAGTTTAAAGGAATGAGGTACTTTGAACCCATTGATGAAAGTCATGGAATTGAGAGTGGGAAGGCCCAGAGGTCACGTGGTCCAGCTTTCTAGTGTTGTGTCACAAGGACCCCTGCTTCCAGAACTTTGACCCAGGATTGGGTACCTCTGGTGGCTGTGCATTTATTACTCGAAAGTTGGGCAGCTCTAATAACCAGAGGGTTTTTCCCGATAGGAGCTGAAGTCAGCCTATGGATTCTCCCTGTGTCCAGATCTACCCTTTGCAGCTCTTCTACACGACAGCCCTTCAGATACGTGCACTGCTGGCCTCCCCTTCGCCTTATTTCCCGAGCTGACGTCCTCCCTGGCCTTTCGGTCACTGCTCACACGCATGCTTTTCCTGCCTGTTGCTTCTCCTCTAGACAAAAACAGCCTTTTAAAATATCATGCCCAGACCTGGACAGAATACACTGTAAATCCAGCACAAAATCAAGCCATTAGTTCTTAATGGCCCCATATTAATACTTGTAGTATTTTCTTTTTGTAGGAGTTTTATTCCTTGGTTCATTTTGAGTGTGCAGGTCATTTAAATCCTCATCGTTTTAGGGTTGCCAGTGATATTCGGTGTTTAGAATGGTCCATTCTCTTAACATATACTACCACTGTGTGTTAATTTCTTTCCTGAAAGTGACAGGAGTCACAGTAGTTCTCCATGGACCTCTGAAACATCACATGCTCTTTAAACCAGAAGCTATAATTCAAGATCCCAGTTCCAGAATGGGAGATATGTCTCCTGTGGCAAAACCCCATTTTTTAGAGTATACAAAATTCTCTCCTCCATTTCCAACCATGTGAGAGGCTCCTACTATTTGGGGACTTTGTATTATCATGGGAGGACTGTGTGCTCAGTTCTCAGGGAATGCTGAATGAGAGTAAGAAGCGTCGTCTCTTCTACCATAAGCATTTCCTTCATTCCAGGGGGAGGAAATCAGCACAGCTGTTGACTGACTCTCCTGACACATTTTGGATATTGGGGAAGAAGGAATCACGCCTCCCTCAGGTAAAGAAAATTGGATTATTAGGAAAATATTATATCTTGACCCTCTTCCATTTGATAGACCAGGTAAAGGGGTTTTAGAGAGTTCCCTCCGATCCGTTTGTGCCTTTGCAAAGCGTTGGAGGCAGGTTGTCAGAACTCTTGGGTGATGTTACACCTTTGCTGCTTCACATGGCCCTTTCACGTTAAAAGATGACTTTTCTTGCCAGAAAGTCTTCATTGTGAGAAGAAATTCATAAGCTTTTCAATCTCAGGAATACTGGATTCTATGGCCAAGAACTCATGAAAGTGTAAACCATCCTAGGTAATTTCAGGTACTTTCTCTTATACAATTAATTTTATTAGATAAACTCCAAACTCTGGTCTAGTCCCAGAGATGAAATACCATTCCTTCACAACTGCATTGACCGGAGCCCCATGAGGTGGTGGTTACAGGTTTTCTAACAGCCAGCAGTTCTCTCTGTGCTGGCGTCAGCACGTCTCTCTGTCCTTGTACGGAGTGGACAGTGACCTACCTTTACTCTCGTCAGTGGCCACAACCCGCAGTCCTCACCTGCTGGTTTGGATGCTCACGAGTGCCCCGGGTCACCCGAGCTGAATGAACAGCTGCAGGCTCGGCCCGCAGTGTGGGCTCAGCTCTGTCACTTTAGGGTCTTTACGTGAATCATCAGCATGGGAAGGAGAGTGTTCTCAGCTTTACGCCCTCTGTTCTCAGTTTATATTTTTAAAAAACTGAACCATGCTTTTGGGAGTAATGATACATAGCTATTCCAGAGATTCTCTGGCCGAAGTTTGCCTGTTTGTCTTTCCAGGGCTGCTCATCCTTCTCCAGATAGCTCCAGGATCTGACGACCCTCAGCCCCACCCCAGTCTCTGCTGGGAGAGTTATGCAAATCTCAGGGTGTTGCCACCAAAGAATCTAGGGAACAGACACGCCTTGGGTGTACTTGGTACACTAGGTTCTCTCCCGGGCCATTCTCATTTGATGTTCCCTAGCGCCTCCCTGTCTTTTTCTATGTGACTGCAGGATGTACTTGCTTCTCTTCTGGGCTTTCCCTGGTTTCTATCCTAGTTCCCACCCCGTGTTTAAGAAAACCTACATGCATTTATTGCCATCCGAGGCCATTGGTGAGGTTTCAGAACTCTGTTTTAGAAGACTTCACCCATTCTTCCTGCCCCAAACAAATGTGTGCTTATTAGACCACTCACGAAGCAAGGAGGCTAAAACCCCACTTAATCTGTGGATCGCACAACAGTGTGTGTGTGTGTGTGTGTGTGTGTGTGTGTGTGTGTACACTGCTGACTGGGTCTCCCCCACCAGGGGCATTTCGTTGAACCAGAGGTGAAAGAGGAAGGAATTCTTAGAGCCATGTACTTTGTGAGGTCTCTGGGTTTCTGACCCTGTTGCAGCCCCTCCCAGCCAAAACAGACACGGTCTCCTCTCAGAGAAAGGCTGATGTTCCAGGCCAGGCCTGGTGCAGGAGAAGGCCCTGACAGTGCTGGCACGCATCGTGAGGTGGGCACAGGTGAGCAGAAGTCTGGAGAAGAGACGAGTTAAAGTGTCACCAATTGTTCACCTCCCAGGCTGCTTTGTACCTCGAAAAGGAAAGCCTAAGGACTCGGCAACTAAGCCAATAGGAAGGGGCAAGTCCCAGTTCCACCCCCCACACGAGCCACTGGTTCCCTGGAGTTTAGGGAGGTAACACTGGAGGGTGTCCTTCCCTCAGAGGTCATCAGTGGGGTCATCAGACCCCACTGTTTTTGCCAGTCTGCACGTAACTCTGAGCACAGTTATCAATCACAGGTGGTGTGATCGGCCTAAATCTAGGTCCAGTTATAGCTGCAAGTCTTGGTCGACGTCCTGATTTTTAAGGCAGGTTTTGATCCCCAAAGATGTGCGTTCCTCTGACCTAGTAAGTAAGGCAGCTTTGAGGGCAGAATAAGCTTTGAGCGCACGAAAAGATAAGACCCCGGGAGTCGGAACATCCGGATTCGAGGGTCAGCTCTTCTCCTGACTAGCCACGTGACCTTGGGCAAGTCGCCTTCCCTGTCTGTGAAATGAGGTTGGACTGGATCATTCTTAAGAGCCATTTGGCTTAAAATTCTGTGATTTCTTCATTCTTAGGAAGATCAGAACATTTCTTTAAACTTGGAATTTCTGCTTCAAAAATTCTAACTTCAGAAATTCAAGAGCAAAAATTATTGTTTTCTTCTGGATTTAAACTGTTTAACATCAGCATGTCAAGGTTGACTTCTCATCCTTGCTGGAGAGTGAATTTAATATTGAGGGTAATTGAATGGTGTTGCGATTGCTTTCCCTCCTAATGGGTTAGTAAGAATATTAAAACCTGCAGAGGTGGAAATTGGAGCTCGTGGGGAAGTGGATAGAAAGCAATTTGTTGCAAGCAGCCTTTGGACAAATTGCTTTAATAGGAAATAGAGCTGCTGCTTCACAGGTTTCTTCAACCACCTTTCTTCAGCATTCTCAGATGTGATCTGCATTGGCTGTTCACACCCGAACAGCGGACTAATTGCATTTCTGCTTAGCTCTAGCTGGTTCGTAGTCTTAAACTCTGCAGTATGAGAATTTTCCTCAATAAAAACCTCGATCTTTAGTTCCGTTGAGCTCCTCCTCTAGATTCTGGGCTATTAGAAGTAGGAGGCTCCGGTGCTGTTCAAGATGGTCTTTCCTTCAAAGCAGGTCTGCAGAGGAGACCACCAAAGCAGTACACGTTGACAAACCCGGAGCCCAACGGCCACATGGCATAGACCAGCACTCCGCTCTCACAAGACCCCTGCAGGACTCGTGTGAGTGGAGTGAAAGGGCAGAGGCCCTGGAAGTAGGGGTGGCCTGCTGCTGTGGTGGAGGGAGGCGGAAGGTTGGGGGCTTTGGCCGTAGAGCAGGAGGGAGGCTGCAAGCACTGGCACTGGGAGGAGGGGAGTTTCGCAGAAGCAAAGCTTTGGCACGCGGAGATGAGTTCCGCCTCGCTGGTGACTTCATCCCTCAGCCTCCCGCTGAGCTGAGATTGTAATCAGCTCCCTAATGGGTATTGACAGGGCTCAGGAGCAGTAGACCCTACCAGGGATAGCTATTGATCTCTTGTGTTCTGATTAGATCGGAAAATAGATCAACTTCACTGCAGTCCAGGAACTGTCACTGTCACAGCTGGTAGGGAATGAGGTGGTCTCTGAGGGCTAAGAGAAAACAAATAGGGAATCTTGACCAGCCAGCCGGCAGCTGCACGCTAAAAGAAGACGCGTTTACTTCTCCTTCGGGAGTTGTGGATGAGCGTCACTGTTGAACCTGGGTACGGCTGCAGCCCAGGATCCCAGAAGCCCCTCCGTGAGAAGAACTGGGAACAAGAGGTGGGTGTGTCTAAGGACACACTATTAATGAATATTCTGGCCTTTCCTACAAAGGTTTAACAATTTGGGGATTACTTTTGTTACTAGCTTATGCACATTTGCTAGCCGGGAGCTTTCGAAATGAGGTCTGGCATATTCTTGATTAGAAATGAGAACTCAGAAACCAATTTTATCCAGTGTATTATTCTATTAAATCAAATCTTTCGCTTTTCCCCCTCCCTTCTAATCCCCCAAAGGACCTCTCTGAGCCATTCCCCAATTCATCCGCTTATCATCTGGGACTATGAATCTGCCAGAATGATATTTTCTGTTATTTCTCTTCCAGATTTTTCCCTCATGTTTCCAATACAGTTTTACTTGGGTGGCCCGATAAGGTGACATCAGGATGCTGTTATGTCCTTCCAAAATAAACATACCCTTTACCCTTCCTCTCCCTGTCAGCTCCCTCCACGCTCATCATTCCTTGCTTTTCTCACTCGGAGCTGAGGGTGCTTTAGAGAGGTTTTTCCATGATTCAGCCAAGACTCCTGGAGTTTTATACACCACCACCCCCCCCCTTCAGTTTCAGAGCTCCCTGGATGTGCTGACAGCCCCTCGGCGAGGAGGTGTGACTGTAGGCCCGCGTGACTCCTCCATGGCCTAGCCAAGGAAGCCGTGGGTAGCCACGTCTGCTTTACTCCATCTTTGTCCCCACATTGTTTATTGCTCAGACAGAAGCTTGTCTTAGCACAAGCCGGATCTCCTGGTCGGGGTCGGTGCAGCCCATCCCTGCCTTGCAGGAAGGAGGATTCGGGAAAGGCATGCTGGCTGTGGGGAGCCTCTACTGTTCTCCCAAAACCAGTGTTAGGGATCGAGTGCAGATCCTGAACAAGGGACACGCTGGGGCCAGCACGAGCTCGACTCTTCCCTAAGTATCTCTGCCCGCGCCTGTTCTCTCTCCCACTCTGCTGAAACCTGGAACACATTCCAGCTTGTCCTCTGGTGAAGAGAGGCCAGGTAGAGAGAGGTTGGCGGGAAAAGGACCCCGGGAGG